TTCCTTCCCTTCCCTTCCCTTCCCTTCCCTTCCCTTCCCTTCCCTTCCCTTCCCTTCCCACCCCCTGCCTTTACAGTCCAAGAAACTAGGGAGGGTCCCTTCTGAGACATTTGCCATGCCCACATTCTTCTGTGGACTCGGCTGCAGCTTGTCTGACTGTTGTCTAGTCTGCAGCTCTTCCTCCTGTCTCACAAGGTCATTCCCACATACCATTACACAAGGTCATCCAGCTGGCTTTGTGCCTAAGGCGGGACTAGAACTCTCCCAGTTTCTAGCCCAGTGCCTTAACCACTATACCAACCCCACCAATGGTAAAAACAATACTGGTCAGGTTTGGTGCATTTTGGCCAGTATGTCAGAATGCAACCAAAACCCAGTTTACTCCAAGCACACTTATACTATTCTATGCAAGCTAGAATCTCTCCACTCTAGACACTACCTTGCAAAGACAACATATTACCCATATCCCACTATCTAGATTGTATATGCAATATACTGACAGTGAAAAGATACCACTGATATTTTACCACCATCCTTTCTTAATTTATGAAGATATCAGTGTTGGATAGAGGCTTTCTCCAGTCCTTATTTTTAGAGTAATAATATAAAAATATCCCCCTATTTTTAAGGGTATGAGGCTGAGAAAACTTCATAAGAATTACAGTATATTCACCCTTATGTCATCATGGAAATGAACAAAAGTGGTTTGGTCTCTTGCTGCAGACTTGAACTATGATCATATGTGTATGCAAATTTTTCTCTACAAAGTAGGGAATATAGTTTAGGCTACAAAGTAAGTCAACTTAGACAGATGCTTAGCCATGATACAGCATTGCAACAATCTGTGGGACAAACTGTTAGAGTAGAATAATGTTCTTCATATATTTATTTAGTTTCCCTCATTATTATATATATTATAATAATTAGAATAACTTATAAACTGAAAACATATGGGGATGATGCTTAAAAAATTATTTAGTTGAATATTATAAGAATATTACTTTACCCCAGCACTGAACATTGGACTATTAGTTTCAGCAATGTTTTATGGCTTCTAAATTTTCAAATGCCCAACTCAGGCATTTAAAGCATAGCAGTTTAATGATGGTTTCTTATGATACAAATATAGATTAGATTAATTTCCCAGTAGCTCAGAGATGTGAACAATTTCTTTTTCCAGTTTGTGTTTAAGCCAAACTTTCTATTGAACTACAGAATCATTGACCTGGAACTTTTTTTTATGTTCAATAGGTTAGTGCTTCTTCTTGGTGATGAAGTGCTGACATGTGACTGTGTGTGCACTCAAGACACAGAAATAGTTTGATTAGTTTTCAAATGTCCTTTGGCCTGAAAACTAATGGAAGCCAGATATCAAAAAGTTTAATGTGGACGTAGCACAAGCTTCAGTGCAGACCTGTACAATGATAGGTAATAAGTAAATAAGTATCAAAAAACACGGATTACATCTGTAACGCAGCAGAATCTTAAAACTAAAAACTTTTCTAACCAAAGTACAAATGGTAGTTACATCAAGGTACAAATAAAGCAAGAGCTTGATAATATAACCAGTATCACCCTGGGCTAGAAAGATTGGTGTTTAAGAACGGCACTCTTCTTGTCACAACACACAGCTTCACTAAAGCTTCAGACAAACTTGATTGAGAGATAACTAAATAAAGAGGGAAAATTGGGACAAACTAAACAGCTAATATGATGATTCTGGTCAAGAAACTTTGTTCAATGTTGCTACCTTTTTCCTTTCTTCTACCTACAGCAAACCCTTATTGGGATGCTAGATTGTTGCCACTGGATGTAATATAACATTGGAAGCTTTTGTCCATGAGGAAGAATGTATAAGTGCAGTGGTTGTTTCAATCAGTATTTTCCATTCTGAGGCTGGCAACATATCGAGTCTGTGATCTAAAATATGCTTGTCATAGTTTAAAACATAAAATGAGCAAGCAAACCAATCCCCAAAGCACAGAAAAAAGCTGCCCATATATGTCACACAGCATCATTCAATCTGCATTATCACTCCAATGAGATCCTTGCTCCTAAAATGAAATTCATTAAATGCTCCTTCATTGAGGTATCTATTATGATGGCAAGATGTTTTCCGTGACCCATCAATGTATAGGGAAATTGGAGGAGAGGGGTTGCCCCAATGTACATCACTTTATAATGAATTAAATTGAATTGCATTTGCCATTTAATTGATCATTTAGCCATCTTAAAAAGATCCTTATGGAGAGATAGGATTTACCTTTGCAGAATCCTTGCCAGCTTTTGTTTAGCACAGCTCGTTCTCCCGTGTGCTTAGTTTTTTTAAAAAATATATTATTACCATTTCTGTCAATTTGCCAGAACAGATTACTTACACTGCTGTATTCTGGACCAGTTGAAGCTTCTGAGTGGTCTCCAAGGGCAACCCCATGTAGACCATGTTACAATATCAAGCCATAAGGTGACAAAGGTGTGAAAGATATCTGGCCAATTCCAATCAGGTTTCAGAACTGGCTTTAAACAAAAAAAAAAATTGTCTGGCTTACTCAGACAGATGACCTGCAAAGGAAAAATACATATCTCTTGATTGGACCTGACAGCTGCCAATCTAGAGTATTTCTATCTTTTGAGCATTCAACTTCACAGGCCCTGAACAGCCAATGCTACCATGTGGACATGGTCCATCATTTGACTCTGATAAAGGCAGGAATAGGGCAGGCATCATTAGCATATTAGTAGCATTCAATACCAACTCCCCTCATGGTCTCACCCACTGACTTTAAATGATAGTAGAATAAATAGATCTCTACAGAACCTATGGATTCCTGTCGAACTTCATAGCCTATTAGCCCTGGGGCTGAGCAGAAATCCCCTAAAGCTATTCTCTAAAGCAGATCCTGGTGGTGAGGGCAGAATAGCACCTCTAAGTCCAACTCCAGATGATAATTCAGCATGAAACCTTAGCGGATGGTGTGAAAAAGCATTGAGAAATTCAGGAAGCTGAACAGGCTATTATTCAGAGCAAGCCACAAAAGTTTTGCTACCTGAGGTGGAGCAGCAACCAACATTATGCTTCTGCTACATCATATCAACGTGCCTTCTACTCAAAACTCACAAAGCTATTTTGGCACATGAGGTAAAAAAAACTTTAGAAGCACCTGTACTGTTCCTTGGCAGAAATAACTGATTCAAAACAAATTCTATAAATGACAACTTACTCCTCTTTCATCGCACTGAAAATCTGCTGCGTTACAGTAGGATTGGCCATGACGTTATATTCAAAGTAGATATAATGTATTCCAAATACTTTCAGCATATCCATTGCCCCTTATCCATTGTGGCAATGAAAGGACAGTCTCACAAAGGATGCAATTTGACTTGATGAATATTGTGCTGTGTTTCTTCTACTGAGAATATACATGCTTCTGATCTGTGTGGTTTTCACTTTTTTGGCAGTGAGCATCTTTCAAAAATATTAGGTGAAAAACAATGGCTAATACATTTGCACGTCTCCTGGCTGGTCGAAGAACTGCTGTTTTGGTTGCAACAGTCAGCACTGGAGCTATGGCTACTGGATACTTATTAAATCACCAAAATGTGAAGGCTGGATCTTTTGGACAACATAAATTATTTCCTCCAAGGTACTAATTTGATTCAGATACTTGAAAAAAACATTGGGGCATGTAGTCTGAAAATCTAGAAGTCTCTATTGAACATTCTCTAAGAAGGTAGGGAGGATTACGTGCAATAAAGGAGTCTCAAAGTGTTTTTTTATTTTCTTTGAGCTATGAACAGCATATACAGTGACTGAGCAAAGCAGGAGAAATTTGGCAATGGGCATAGAAATCCTAGAAGAAAGGAAGAATATTTCACAGGATGCAAAGGGAAATAGGAATGTGGGAAATATGGCAGACCAAAAGTTTTGTCCAATGAAACTATGGAGAAGAGGAAAATCTCAAATTGGCATAAGGATCCCACTTGTAAGCTGAGGGGATGAAAAGAGAAAAGACAAATGGAGAAAAATTAATATTGCGTATGAGGCGAAGTGAATGGGAAAACAAAAGCTGAATTTTAAAAAGTGATTTGGGATTAGAGGGCACAAATACAAAGGCCATCATTATAAATTAAAGCTATCATGCTTTCTCTACAATATGCGGGTGCCATTAATATTATATGATTAGAAGAATGTTTTATTTAGAAAAATACCATTACATTTCATAAGACTTGTTGTCTTAGAAATGTATACAAGATTCTAACCTTTTATAATAATTAATAGGTAGTATTATTCATTTCATTTATATCCCATCTTTTCTCTAAGGGGTACCTATTTATTTAATCTCTACAACAACTGTATGAGATAGGTAAGGTTGAGAGTGATTAACTGGTCTGTGTTCACCTAATTGGTACATAATTGGTTGGCATAATTAGGCAACTGTCTCCTTATTATTCTTATTCTTCTGTTAAACCCTGATTTGCAATATTAGGATGCGAAACATCCATGTCTGCAAACCCTATACAGACAGCCAACATGGTGAAGAAGATAGGTGGTCGGATTAGATCTGTGAAGACCCAGGTTCTAATTCCATTCAGCCATAAGGTTTGCTGGAACATTTTGGTTCATTTGCTATAATCTACATTACAGGACTATTGTGAAGATAAAAATGGATAGGGGAACAGCTGTGTAAAGCTGCATTGTAGCCCTAGAAGAAAGGTGGGATAGAAATGTCATAAAGAAATAAAATGTAAAATGTAAGGCCTAATAAAACTACACTAATTCATGTCAGTTATTTCTTCAGTTCATGAATCTTGTGCTAGATGTGAAAGAAAAACACATAATTATGGATTCTGAAGGTAATTTTTCCCTTTTCCATCTGCCTGGGTGTTGCCGTTCTTGACTGAAACTAACTCTGCAGTTTCAGCTGGAAACCACCATACGCCAAAGAAACACTGTTAGGTTTGTTTCTCCTACAAATTGTAAATGCCCATTCGAGTTATCCGTCTCCTGCTGTTTTTCTCAAACCATGAAATTCGTTGGAAAATATTTACACGGACTGCTTGTCATTCTTAAAGGCATCCAAGACTTGTAGACTAGGAAAGTGCTGATTGAATGTCCATGCCACAGTCTGTGTTAATGAAGTGAAAAGCGGAACCAAGCATTTCCTACTCAATGCAAAAGTTTTACGTTTCTCTTTACCCAGTGCAGACTACCCTGATCTTCGTAAACATAACAACTGCATGGCTGAGTGCCTGACTCCAGCAATCTATGCCAAATTGAGGGACAAGATGACTCCAGCTGGCTACACCCTGGATCAGTGCATCCAAACTGGTGTTGATAATCCTGGACACCCTTTCATTAAAACCGTGGGGATGGTCGCAGGAGATGAAGAATCCTATGAGGTGAAACAGTTTGTATCATCTACCAGCGTCTCTTCAGATCTTCATTTATTTCATAAAACCACGAGAGAATGATAGATTCATCACACAAAGGGTGGCTTTTAGGAGGACAAAGGTGCCAGCACAAAATTCAAGCCATGTGATTGATCCTGGCATTTGCTTTTTGTCTTTGGGGAGGTTTGCAGAGGGTTTTTTTTTTTTTATCTCTCTGTGTGAAATTTAGTGAAGAGAAAACAACATTAAAGACATTCTCTGTATAATGATGTCTTGGATAATAACATGCAGCACAGAAGACAGTCTTTATTTGCTTCTAGTAGCTGACTCCTCTGCTACTGCTAAATTCAGTTTAAAATTGGGGAACCTTGTTAATGAAATGGATTGAAATAAAAGTCTGCTGTAAAAATATCCAGCTACCCTCAGACGAAAGATCAGCTACATAAACAGTTATATATACATTATTATACATTTTCTTTAGACCATGTAGAATATTCAATAATAAACAATGTCCAAACCAAAAGCTGGGATTTCAACACCTGGATAATACAAGCACATATCAACATACTTAGTTTAACAGGAGACTAGGCATCACAAAACCTAGATGGAAGCCTGGATGTAAAAAAAAAAGTATTTTTAATAAAAAATCTTTTAAAATATTTATGCACTAATTTTCTGGGTCCAGAATAAGAATACAGTAGACTCTTATTTTATTTATTATCTTCATATAATAACAGAACCCAACACTTTATTGTTTGGCAGAATAAAATAATAAGCTGAGGCAACCCAGTGTCTCTTGGGTTTGCCTGAAGTATGTAACAGCGTGGTCGTATATCCCTTCCCTTGCCAAAAACTCCACAGCAAAGCTTGCATTGCTCCCCAGAAACAGGAGGAAATAAATAATTCCTGTAGATTTTCAAAGCAAATGTTTTCAAAGCTTTATAGAGACTAGGAAAGGTGGCAAACCTGCTGTGATTGTTCCTCTATTTTTTCTCCTTATTAAATCAATGCAAACAGAAGAGAGAGAGGCCTCGAAGTGCCTGGGAAGTTGATTAAACAATAAACTTTTCCCTGGCACATTAAAACCTATTGTGCCTGGCCTTCTTCATGCATTTCTTATAAAACTGGGAAAAAGTAACCACGGTGAACACTCTTAAAATGTGATGATGGTCTTGTGGTTTTTGCTTTTGCTTTGTGGTTCTAAGAACAACCTTGGAATCTTGCTGGGCAAATATCTTCCCTTCTATGTAAATGTAATATGTTATTACCTCAATAATCTAATAATATCAGAGTCCCCTGTGATATTTTATATAAGGGATTCCAACTTGTTAGGGCCAGTGGGCATATTTCTCACTAATCTCTCTCTCTATGGGTGTGTTTGCAGGTGCATTCATGTGGGCATGTGTGCACCATTTCACTAGATTTCTTCCTTTTCCCAGCAGGTAATGCTAACTGAAATTTTGTGCACCTGTCCTTTGAGGCTTATTATTTAAGAGTAAGTCCATGGGAACCCAATCCATATTTGGGAAACAACATCCTCTTCCCAGCTCTTTTATCCTATTCCCATCTCATTTAGAAAAAATAGCGTGCTCTGTGAAAGTGTAGATTTAAACAAATAATTGTTGTATTATTTTTTTTTAAACCCTGACTATTATTGGCATCAGTGCCCCTCCTGCATCTGCATGGTTGTGAGAATGTAAGGGGAAAAGAAGTAAGTTCAAGGGTTTGGTAAGGGAAGTCAACAGTGCAAAATGGTGGGTGTGAGCGGGTAATGGAAACCCCAGTCCCTTTTCATGCGTGTGCGATGCCTACGGGGCTTCAATCCCTGGTCACTCCCACTATTTTCACACTGCTGACTTCCCCCACTGACACCCCTGATTAAATTCCCTCAGTCCATATGTGGGAGCCTGATTTCAACTGGGCTATTACGTGCTTACCCTTGAATAAATGAACATTGAAAGGGCAGCTGCGTAATACGCATCTCAATATTATATAGCTTAGCTCGAAGTTATCTGAGGAACTGAATATTTTCACATGATCCTTTTTAATAAGATAAAGAAATAGTAGGCTAGGTTTCTAGCCTTAGTAGTACCCATACACATGCACCATTCTCCCACAACAAAAGCCCACAAACTCTGCAAAATAAAAAAAAAATCAGCTTTGCTCTAATTTCCAATAAGTGGAGCAAGAAATAAATCAACTTCATTCCCCTTCCCCAAATTTCTGGAGGAAAGGGAATCAGAGAAGGCAATGTCAGGTGTTGCCTAATATTTAAACTGCCACTGGCAGAAATGCTAGATAATTAGTATAATTAGAAGCAGAAGTTAGTGATAGGGACTATAATTTTGTACAGATTGCCTCATTGAAGTGCTAACACCCCTGGATTTTTTTTTCTTTTGTGATAGAGTTCAACATTATCTCTGTATATATACTAAATGAAGTGACTTAAAATAAAAAAAATGGCTCCATTCTTGTTTTAATCTCCCAGGTATCTATAGCAAATTATAAAGTTCCCAAGTACAGAGGTAAATCATGAAACTTATCTATCATTACTTTTTTGAAGATCAGAATATTGTCTTCAAAGGAAGTGATTCTAAGATTAAAGCAAAGCTAAGGATAAGAAATAGAGAGGCATTTCTTGACATTCAAAGGGTCTGCAGGTATGCGCTGTACACAGCTATTTCCTTCAGAAATGACGTTCTTATAGTTTGTTGAATGTCTATCATGTCTTTTTATTAAACGTTCAGAATGCCTAATGAATTAAGATGTTAATATAATAAAATTTGTTTAAAATAAACAACTTAATTACACATATGTAAACAGTTTTCAGATAAGACAAAATTTAGGCTGGAATAAAATCCATATTTTCCCAAGTGTTTTCTGAAAAACCAGAACTGTATGGGTCTCTCAAAGATTTCTGTTGAATAAATTCCAAAAGGAGGATGCTGATATTGAGAACTTTCTGTATCTTGTCCTAGTTTATCTGGTATCAGTGAGGCTATACCTTTCTTAAATGGCCTAAGGACCTAGAGAGGTTTCTAATCTTTTCAGTTTCTTTGTTTTTAAAAATTCTATTCATCCTTTAATACATATGCATCGTTCAGGGTGGCTTGAAGCATTTAAAACTGAAACAAAGAGGAAAATATTTTTAAAAAGCAATAAAGACAAAGCTAAAAACATCACAAAATATTGCAGCAATGCAAATTATAAAGCAGACAGACAAGTAGTAGCATCCTTTAAAATTGCCTGTGGAGATAACACCTTGTAACAGAAAAGGCTTTTATAAACAAGAGGAGTAAACCTTGTCTCCTGAGGAAAGGAGGTTCACAGCTTATGTACAGCTACTGAAAAAACACTTCTGTTCCAGCCAAATAAATGGTTAAGTGGTATTTTCCTTGCAGGACCAATACACTGCAGTCCTGTCTGTGAGCACCTACCAATATTCTTGCTTTGCATCAAACCAGTTTGTATGTAACGAAGGCATGGGCTTCTGTAGTCAGATACAACCTCATCAGGGCAGACACAATTGTTGTATCATCTTAACTGGGCAAAGGCACTCCTTGTTACAATTATGACATGAGCCTCCAAATATGAATCCAAGAGCAACCCCAGGCTGCTAACATGATTCTTTATAGGTGTAGGTTTTGAAGTATCCGAACAGGTTGAAATCATATTCCCAAGTTTACTTCTTGACTAAGACCTTCTCTGTTTTTCTAGATTAAGTTTTAATGTATTAGCCTCATTCAGCTCCTTACTACTGTCAGATAGTTCAAAATACCAACAGCTTCCTTGACAGTATATGAAAAAGAAGACAGAATTGTGTGTCATCTAAATATTGTGGATGTTCGGATTATCTTTCCCATGGTTTCATATAAATACTGTATTATATAACTTAGAAGACAAGCTAAAATCCTGAAGTACAACATACTCTACCATTCATAGGGCTGAGCAGGAATTCCCCAGCATCATCTTCTAGTTTTACCTCTAAGAAAAGACTCTATGAAATGTTTTACAACCTCAGGAAAATGATATCTGCAAGCCTATTCCTGGCAGCTGGTGTAGAAGAGTGTTTCAACCATTTTTCTCTCAGGACCCCTTCCCACTTTTAAAAATTTTGGAGGACTCCAAAAGAGCGTTTGTTTGCATGGATTATATTTATCAATATTTACTGTATTAACAATCAAAATTGATGCATTTGCTGCTGCTACTGCTTCTTATGATTGTTTGATGGGTTTTTAATATTGTATTATTTTTCAACATAGGCTGGCAAATAATTTTAATTTTGTGGACCCCTGAGAGGGTCTTGGGAGACCCCCAGAGGTCCAAGGACCATACTTTCAGAAACACTGATCTAGAAGATGGCCTATGGTATAAAACAATACTCAGAATTCCAAGCAAAACCACCCAGAGATTTCTACCCCCACCCAAGTCTAGATCCCTGTATTGATCACCTACCAGGGTAACCAAAGCTCTCTCTTTCCCAAAATGCCTGAAGCCAGATTTAAACGAGTCTTGTTAATCACTATATTCTAGATTTCCTGGAGATGAGATGCCAAAATATGCTTGAGGATCTTGTTCAGGAAGGCAAAGTGGCACTTGTCAGAAATTACTCAAAACAAGTCAGATTCAAAGAGGTGCCAGGAAGTTTAAGCATGTGTGTGGTTGTTGTATATTATCAAGAATCTTGTGCATTTCTTCAGGCTGTATAATCTGAAATTTATTCATAAAACTAACAGATAGAATAAGTACATCAGTAGGATCTGCTACGAACAAGGAAGTCAGCTTGAAGTTAAGTGTCTAGGAAACATGGGATGATGGAGACCTGCTCTTAATATGCCAGTTTTATAATGTCCTGGACAGAGATAACTTGGTAATATTATTGGAATTCTGTAATGTGCTTGATTGTAGGATTCCCCTTGAAACTGGTCCAGAAGCTCCAACAGTTGCCTCAGTAACACTTTTTTCTGAAATAAATTCTGTTGAAAGGATTAGATTAAGGTGAAGATAAATTAGTTGCCTTTTTAATAATTTGGAATTTTAGAATATTGTTATTTGTCATTTGATTCCAAGAGGCAGACTGATTTATGAGCATAGAACAAAATTAAATAGTCTACAAAATAAATAATAAATAAAAAGAAAAGACACAAGGGAAAAAAATCTAAACACAAAGTGGAGAAAATCATATATTTTATTGACTTGACAGGTATTTGCTGAGATTTTTGATCCAGTTATCAAAGTAAGACATAATGGCTATGACCCCAAACTAATGAAGCATCACACTGACCTGGATTCTTCAAAGGTAGGACCTAATTTAAGTCTTAAAGAAAAAAATTCTGAAGAGAAAATTTGTTTGAGAATAACAGTAAAAGAATATTACAATTGATATTAGTATTTCAGTACTACCTTCTCAATAATTATTTTATGACAGAATAGGGCTAGGTGAAATATACCACAAGCCAAACCAGATAAAACAACTATCTCCCTTAACAAAATAACAAAAATGTGTGCTACAATAAGGCAACTACGGGATACTGAGCAAGTGTACTGGGAAGGGGAATTTCAAATAAGTTCCTGTCTCTCTTCAGGACTCCTCTTAGCTCTGCAGACAGTATAATCCACAAGTATCTACATTGTGCTTTTTTTTCCCCTGAGTGGCTCCGGGATGGGAGGTAATTTATATGGGAAATATGACATGCAGATATTGCATTTTTAAAATATACATCCAGTACCTTTATTCTGGATAAGTTTACACCTTTCCCCAGGTTTGATTTAAAATGAAAAAACTCCCAAAATTCTGACTGAAGTTCTTCCAGTTCATATCTGCTTCACTTCCCAGATCTATTCTTCTTCACTTCCAAGTTCAAAGCCAGTTGTCTCCATATTCTTGCCCAGCCGTTTCAGGGCTTTCTGAGGTATAAATAATATTGGTATCCCAGATTTTAATTGTGTAATATTTATTTTTACTCTGTGATGCCAGATGAAACTTTGTCCTTTCTGCTTATAATGCTACTGGACTCTTTTAATTGCTGGGAACCGCACTGCAGAAAGTGGACGGGTCTAGGGCAAAAACTACATATGTTTTAATTTAATTTGCATTAAATGAATTAAATAAATACTCCCCACATGTTTATTTCATGTCAGGATTTGCATTCTCCTGTAACTTTGTCTTTTGTGAAACAGGAAACAGGGCATCTGCAAGGGAGGATAAAAAAAGGCAAGATGGTGACTGCAATTACAAAATTGAAGCCTGCTTCTTTTACACAGGCCACAGAGCCTGTAAAAAAAGGGAGCAGGGCTTTGATAATGTTCATGGCTGCCATATTGATTGTTTTGACCCCCACTCCCCTGTAGATTCCCCTGATAGAAGGACCAAGTTCACTGCTGAAATAATAAAATGGTCAGCAATTTTGTGGTAAATAATTGAAGAAAGCATTTTTAGATCCAATTCAAAAGTTAAATTTTCATATCAAGAAAAGTTACTTCTCTAACTGATAATGGTCATGTTTTTAAATTCAGGAGGAGGTGCTTGTAGATCTCCTTCCAGAGGCTTCGTAATAAAATTGCTAGCCTTGGTGCCATGCAACTGGCTAAGATGGGGGTTAGGGTTCTTGCTCAACAAAATATCTGGGGCTAATCCTGAGTATCCTTAGTATAGTTCACAACTCTCTCAATATATTTTCAAACTATTGTTTTTGGACAGATTACCCAAGGACAATTTGATGAGCATTACGTTTTATCCTCCCGTGTACGCACAGGCCGGAGTGTTCGTGGCCTGAGCCTCCCCCCTGCCTGCTCCAGGGGAGAGAGAAGAGCTGTCGAGAGTGTTGTGGTCACTGCCTTGGCTGAGCTGAAAGGAGACCTGGCTGGAAAGTATTATAGCTTGACAACTATGTCTGAAAAGGAGCAACAACAGCTAATAGATGTAAGTTTAGCCCCAAGCCTGGAAACTGAGCACAGGTAACAAGGCTATGGCTAACAATGTTGAGGGTCTCTCCCTTGAATTGACTCCTGGGGACTATATGGATGTGATTATATGGATATGGAAGTAATTGTCCTTGCATTCTTCTAGGCCTTTTTCAACTTCCCACTCTTGTCTACAATTCTGAGGTTACTTGGTGCTTTCCAATCCAAGCACTAGTCAGTCTGATTTGGCTTGGCTTTTCTGAGATCAGCCAAAGCTGGTTAGGCACTGCCACCTGCTACTTAGCTCCATTTGAGTTTAGGACTCATCTACAGTTGCACAGTATAGAATGTATACTTGGAGCTACATGAAGTAGTAGCATGAAGCAGCTACACAGTTTGCAGGACTTGATAAGCAGCCCTGGATGCTTTCTGCAAGTACTTGCATGCAAAGCCACTTCACAGAGATACCTGGAAGTGGCTGATAGAGTAACCGTGTGCAAGCCTGGAAAAAGATGCAGCTGCTTTAATGATCTGAAAAGAGATGCTTTATATGTACCACTGTGTGTTGTAAAGCATGTCTTTCGAGACATTCGCTTAGTACTAGTGTCATGGAAAATTCGGAAGTACAGAGCTCAATGCTCAGGAAAAGTGCCAACCTTTATTGTAACAATAAATGTTGGGTACTTTATTTATCATATTTATTGTATTTATTTACAAGAAAGTTGGGTACTTTACAAGAAAGAGGGATCCTGAACAATGGAAAAGCAAAGATTGTTATAGAAATTGAGGACTACAAGGCAGGAAATCCTAGGGATCTGATTTGCTGCTCAGTTTGGAGAAGTAGGTAAGTCTTTGTCCCTGTACCTGAGACTATTTCTATTATTAGGGAAAGTGGCCCTTTGGGGAGGGGCAGCAGAGCTGGGAAAGCCCATTGTTAAAGGAGATAGAATGTTGAGGTCATCAGCTGATAGAGGATGGAATGTTGGGGCTTCTCTAGGTTGCAATTCCCTTGTAAGGGCTGCCCTTGGGCTGGCCTGTAAGCTGGTGGGGAGGCCTCTATTCTTTGGTCTAGATGGGATTGCGGGGGGAGGGCCTTGTCTGGGGCAGGGAGGGCCAATCTGGGTCTGATAGGAGTAGGCAAAGAGAGTTGTTTTTTTCTCCCCGGTCACGTCTAAAAGACTGGGAGAAAAAAGGGTGCAGCCCCCATTTTGTTCGTTAGATTTATTTTCTCCACCACACTAGAACATAGCAAACCATTCCTTACTTGTTGTATATCAACTAATCAACATTTTCCAACTGAAATTGTTTTTCCTTCCCCCTCATCCAGAAGGTAAGCAAATTATGCATTCTGACAAGATCCAAGCCATGTTAACATACACACATTAGCAGAACTCTTTGATTTGTGGATTTCTGGAAATAGTATCATGTCCTCAAATAGCTCTAGAAAGTATGGAAGCATCCATAATCTTAAAGATTCTGAATTGTAGGTTTGAAATGTAAGTTTGTGGGGGTTTGGGTAGAATGAGGGTTAAAAATAAAATGTAAAAAAAAAAAAAGTAAGTGCAAATACACCGCAGCCCAAGAACATTTAGAAAATGTCTTAATGAACTGACATCCGAGTAAACATGAAACAAAACTGAGTTGTATCTGAGGATTAACCAGGATGGAAGAGCAGAATTAATAAGCAAAAGCAATATAAAAAGATCAGAATAAATTACTTTTATATTTCTATCATTGTTTTACTAAGCCCCATGTCTCAAAAATCTTATTTGTAGGTATTGAATAATTAAATATTATGTGAAAGCAGTAGGTATCACTCAAATCTTACTCTATGATTCTGTAAATTTAACTAAGTTAAATCTAAATGCATTTAATGTAACATAATTTAATTTTAATTTCACTCTTTAACAGTTTCTTTCTTAGTATGTTTCCAATTCTTTACAAAACCTTAAAACTACATGAAAGTAAAAACATAGTCATTTCTATGGGAGAAACATTTGTTTTATTTCCAGGAAAAAGAAACCAGTATTATCTTTATGCACTCTGTAGCTCTGTAAACTGATTCGCAATGATAATTCAACATTTTCTTTCTTTCCCTCTGCCTTGAATTATGCTGGTCTCCAGGATCATTTCCTATTTGATAAGCCAGTTTCCCCTTTGCTAACTTGTGCTGGAATGGCCCGTGACTGGCCAGATGCCAGAGGAATATGGTATGAAATATGGGATGTGCATGTTTAATATGTGAATGAATAATTATACTGTACTAATTTCTAATCCAACGGCTACTGCTCCTAATTCTGAGCACAAGCTTGGCATACACAATCTCTTCTTCCATTACATAATCTTTAAGGGTGCAGTGGGCAATCTTTTGTTGGCCATGAGCAGCTGAGGCCACAGAGTGACCTTTGACCAGCTGCCAGAAATTTGGGTGGGGAGTGTGGGAACAGAGAATTCGGGAATGTTATTTTGTTTTGTTTCAAATAGATGCCTATTCCAGAACTTACATTACAATTTCCCATTGTTTCTCACCTCAGTATGGCAGGAAACTACTTTGATTTTTAGTAGTCATGGTCAGAGAGAACTCCAAAGACCACCAAAAAGGATGTTTTTAGGGCTGTCTGTGGCCCTGGGCCTGTTTTAAAGGAAGATCACTAGGAAACTTTTATTTTTTTAAAAAAATATCAAAGATGTCTGACAATGCAACAATAATGAAAAAAGGAAGAATGGCTAGGGATTTAGGCACTTCTTTTCTTTTCTTTTTTCTTTTTCTCTATTCTTAATTGTGAGGAAATAGCTAATAAAGTCCACAGATATATTCTGGAGTATGACTTCAGTACCTTGCTTGCACTAATGCACGTGTGTGTGACTATGTAAGTGTATAGCTCCATAGATACCATGTGAAGGTAATTATTTCTTCTTTTTGTTTTATCAAAGTAAAATTATTTTCTTCAATAAAGTAGCAATAAACAATATTTCAAAACCTTTTAAACAGGTAAGCTATTTTATATTATCTCATTTCCCAATGTAAAAAAGCTTTCTACCAATATCAGTAGAAAGGACATAACCAGTCTTGTCTTTAAAGTAATTCCAAACACATGTAAGATTTACAGATAACATACTGAATATTTTGCTTTTACTTATTTTATGAAAAGTAAACATTACCTGAATATCCAGATTAAAGCCAGATTACACAAGATAATTACTTATATTAAAAGCAAAATCTTAGAGGGGAGACCTCCAAGCAGAGTTTCACAACCTTGGCAACTTTAAGATGCGTGGGCTCCAGAATTTCCCAGCCAGCATGAGATTGTTTATTAATGGGGCCAATACGTCTTGAGCCTGTTTTTCAGAGGCAATGGTTTTGATTCTTTCAGAATAACTACAAATATATTGCACAAAAATTAATTGGTCAAATACAGCTATTGAGAAAAAACACAAGTCCAGATTTGGCTCAACAGTTAGAGGCAATGGAATGCTTCTTACATTTTGCTTATATTTTCAATCTTCAGGGCAGTAAAAAAGTTAAGACGGTGGCCACGAATGTACAATCAAAGCCTTCCCCTTTTTTATGTGCATTTCGCAGTCACCACTGCCATCTTGACTTTTTGACTTGCCCTGTGGACACTCATGACTGATGTCCAGCTCAGTTGTCAGTATCAACTTTTCATATGATGGCTATTCTCTAGACTCGGTGTAGTTTCCTTGTCACATCCTCTTTTTCCCTGGGATGTTCTCTACCACCCCAAGTTCCTTTGGTCTTCTTTCCCAGGCTGATGGGCACATTTCAAAATAAAGTACTGGATGTAGACATCTGCTATTTTTTATTTCTCAAGGACACATATGGAGGTATGAGTTGTTTAAATTAAAAACAGCTCTATTGGCTTTGTTTTAGAAATTCTGTACAACAAAAGCACTGCGATTTATTAGTAAATAGAGAGCAGGCAAGGAAGAAAGACATTTAGAAGATCAGAATGAAATGTTATTAGCTAATACAGTGTTTCTCAATCTCAGCATGATGGTTGGGGGAATTCTGGGAGTTGAAGTCCATACATTTTAGTTGCTGAGGTTGAGAAACACTGAACTAGTAGACCATTTCCTGTTTTTTTTCTCTTTTTCTTTTTAAAGACATACCAAGCATTTATTTATGAGGACTTTAGATGTTCTGAAGGAACTTTGATAAATGTGAATACCTGTAATATAATACTTCTATTACAAAACAAAGAATTGAAATTAAAACATGTTTGGCATTTTAGAATGGATATTAATCTGACAGCATTAATTTCATTTCTTTTCATACTTGATGACTCTTGTTCATTTATCTCTCCTTGAGCCTGTTATCATTATCTCTAAGTTTGAATCTAACCACATGTAAAGCATAGAGCATCTGTTGCAGTGCCTGAGTTATCAGTTCCTTGTCATACTGTTTTAACACATTTTGCATCATGTTTGAATGTTTTTGCATGTCAAATTTTTGTAGTCAAAAACTGCATGAGCTCTAAGATGAGGGCCTATAATTTAGCCTCACTATTCTGGAACTATCATTATCTATCTATTCTAACATCTATCTATCATCCATCATCTCTCTCTCTCTCTCTCTCATCTATCTATCTTTTGTCCTGAATTTCTATTGTTTATATTCAAAGTATTCATTCAAAATATTCATTTTGGTTAAAAGTGTATAATATAGATATAAAAATGCAGACCACTTACTATACTGGTAAGCTTATTGTGACTTGAGAGAATCCATCAAACTGTGTGATGCTTACATCTGAGTTCAAGTTGTAAAAATATTGACCATTATGACACAATAAGCCATAATGTAGTTTGTAATTTTTGGCTTAGTGTGATATGCAAATCAATCTAATTAAAACATGGATTGTTTTAAGGCAATAGGATTCATTGGTTTTTCATTGGTTTATTAAATTGGCTTCTTCCAATTGTGCTTTGTATGAAGTTTGAGCCTAGATGTGTGATTTGTTTGCGGTTTCTTTATGCATTGTCTGCCAAGAAACACATGAGGAAGCTAAGTGTTTCTGGACAGTGAAAGCATTCCTAAAAAGCACTTGCTGTCAGCTGCAGCTCACTAAAACTCATTCTTTGGCTATCATATAGCTGGGAATAAGATCTGCTCCTCAACCATTCCTTCAGTCTCAACACTGAACACTCAGTTTTGCAGAAGCTGCTGCTGATTTCATGCATGAAAACGAAAAGAGAGGCCTCTCAAAATGGAGCATTGTTTTAAAACCAAAACAAAGCCTTCCTTTGACAGTGATAATTAAGGAGAACAGCAAAATATCATGCACAGAACAGTTCCTGCCTCATTATCTGAAGAGAGAGAGCACAGGTTAAATCATGGCTAAATGTCTTCCACTAAGGCTTGCATGTTAACTACCTATCTGACTAGACCTTTGGAACTAGAATCATAATTTCTACCTGCTATATTGTCTTACATACCTATGCATTTTCTGTCCCCCCTCACCGCCCTCCCCCCGTGTAGTTCAATCACAGCCACTACCAAATAGCCCTTTCCCGCATTCCAGTCATGCTTCTTATTTACAGCAGCAATCTGCAACCCTTTTCAAGCTGGGGTCAGCATTTGGCCTCTGGGTGGCTTTCTGAGTCCTGCACTCTCAGAGCTGGCAAATTCAGGTCAAAGAAGAACACAAATGAAGCATGATTTTATTTTATACAGTAATTTAGAATAATTAAGTGCAAGTAATATGAATGTTCCCCATATATTGAATAATTCTCTTTTTCTGTCACATTCAAATTATAATTTGATGGCAACTTTTGCACATAGCTCAAGCACTGTACCCAAGGTATTGGGGGGGGGGTGTATTTTCATCCCTGTGCCCATGAGTTATGTGTTCTTAATCTATAGGAAAAAATAGCTATGCCAGCCATACTGCATCGTTTTTTGCAACTGTATGAAAGGGTTAATACAGCTTGTGATGCAGCAGGTTCAGACTGGACAGTGGAGACAAGGAGTGGTCCTGTTCTACAGCAATCCCATCTCTGTAAGGCAGTTCACCAATTTTGAGTCATGTATTTGGCACATTTAGCTGGCTAAGACATGGTCAGGATATGGTTAGTCTACTGTCCCAACTGTCGGTCTCTCTTCCTGAGCTTATCCAGGGTGATCTCAGATATGACACTGGATTACCTTAGGCTATTTTTCCTATGGCATTATGATGTTTTATGCTGAGGTTGCTCAGTTAGGAATGGCTCAGGACTTCATGTTTTCCATGACACCATGGATCTGTTCCAAATGATATCTTGCTCCACAGATGCAGCAAGGTATGTTGGATTGGGTCTTCTATTTGGAAAGAACTGGTGATTTGAAGGTAGAAGAACCCTGTTGGGTCAGCTTCATGCACCAATAACATCTGATCAGCTTTACACTGATGGCCAGTATAAAGCTCTGCAAATTGGAGGACTAGATAAAACGGTATTGTTCAGGCACCTGATGGAAACAAATGATTTCCTCAATGTGCTTCGGGAGTTTTCTACATTTTTTTTTTTTGCTAATAATGACATTGATACCCTTAAGACAACTGGATGATTACTATGATTGTTCTGAAATTTTCTTCCCTCTCAAGGAGCTAAATTATCCCCCTGGTTTACGAGAGAGCTAAGGATTAGAAGTAGTTGTGATGTCAGCTGGAGTGGAGAAACTTTCAGGATGGAACAGATTCCGTACAAATTTTATTTGAAGACCTACTTGAACTCCTATTCTACTGTAGTAGAGCAGTTAAGATTGCTAATTTCTCTGTCTCTGTTGCAGGCTGGCATAGTTCTTCCATATAGTTCAGCATCTCCACCAAAATGTTGGTGAGAGGGACCAGGTCAGTGGTGCTCCATAAACAATTTCCATCAGATAAAATAGGTTGGATCTATCCTGACTTGGACTTCAAATTGGGACAGGTCACAGAGTATAAACTCAGCAACTAGTGGTTTTGCTATCCTTCTAAAGAATGTGGACAGGATATGCAGTGAGATTACATCTATCATTTCTTCATTTTCCTCTTGCCCTTTTTGGAAAATTAAACTGATCAGGACAGGACTGGCCCCATGGTTAAGATATTAGATCAATAAGTTCTTGTTTGAGGGATGTATTCCCTCTGCCTAAAGAAGGCAGTAATAAAACCTTTATTGGAGAAAAACTGTCTTGACCTGGGAGTATTAACAGTGTTCCTTTTCTGGAAAATTGAGAAGATAGTGGCCTCATAGCTCCAGATGCGTCTGAGTGATACTGAGTAATACTGACTTTCTGGATTCATTTCAACCAGGCTGGGATCTTGTACTGAAACTGTTTGGTATTCTTTGTAGACTTCCTGTGTTGAAAACTGGGTGAGGGAGTACAACTACTAATTTTCCTGGGCCTCTTGTTGTTTTTAGTATCATCAACCATAATATCCTTCTGGACTGCCTGGCGGGATTGAGACTTGGGGGCATCATTTTAAAATAGTTTGGCCATCCTATCAGGCTGTGTCTAGAAGTTAATGCTGGGAGATGTTGTTCAATGTCTTCATGAAACTGCAGAGGGAGGACCATGCTAATGACTCCTAGTCCTATTGCTCTTTACTATGCACTTCACATTGCCTAATTTTGATAATGGGCTGGATGATAAATCAACCTGAAATTAAACCCAGACAAGGTATAGGTGATGTTGGTTAATAAGAAACTGGACTTGGATATTGTTGTTCATCCAGTTTTGGATGGGGCTACATTTTCTGTTAAACAGTGGGCAGTTTTGACAGTTCTCATTGGTTTTCCACTCTCACTACATTTGCAGATGGCAGCTATGGTAAGAAGCACCTTTGCACAGTTACTTCTACTGCACTAGGTTGTTTCTTCTTTACCAGTAAGATTTGGTGATTGTGATCCATGCCATGGTTACTGCTGTGTGGTCTAAATGGAGCTAACCTACACTACACCATGTAGTGTTGTTTTACTTTTTCTGTTTTACTGATCTCACTGTGAGCCGCCCAGGATTATTGTATATAAGATGAATGGCCATAGAAGTCTTTTAAAATAAAAATAAATAAATAAAACTGTACAGAGATTACAAGTATAGAATGTGAGAGACAGTCTGCTGCACTGCAACGTGCAAGGTACAAGGCTCGTATGGTGCTTACACAAAACACTCTGCATTGGGTGCCAACTGTTTACTGGCCTTCATTTAATGTATTTATATTGATTGACCTTTTAAGCCTTCAGCAACTTAGGATCTGACTCTCTAAATCTCTATCTCACACACTGCAAAACTGTCTTGTTGTTGAGACCTGCCAAAGAGGCCCTTCTGAAGATGCTGCTACTGTCAGAAGCCCTCTTTCTGGCCAGAGGGGACAACTAGTCCTGTTACTCCCAGCCTTGGCAGTTGCATTTGCCCCCCTCCCCAGTGTTTAGAAAATCTGCAAAGACACATCACTTTCTCTAAATGATTGTTAGATGATTTAAGTATTTATTTACTGTTAATTTAAATTTGTATTTTAAACTTCTTATATTCTGGGGTTCTTTTTCTAAATAGCTGCCCCAAATGCTCACCAGATCAGAAAAGCTGGATATAAATCAAATACCTAAGAAATTAATAAATCCCAGCTGCGCTGTGAAAAGAATAGAAGAGAGATTTTCCTTTGCCTTGCAGTGTTCTGAACACTGGCAGGGAAAGCCAATACATTTCTGTACCAACTCTCTGCAGCAAGACTAGTAGAGACAAGCAGATCATGTGTGAAGTCAAGCTGATACTCAAGAGCAGCTAAAGCAGGCGGGATGTCAGAGTGTGTGGGCAGAACAGGCAGGCAGAAAACAATCCATGTCTCAAAGGTGCCAGCTAACGAACCGTCGTCAGCCATTGAAAAGGCAACCTTGGACTTTGAATTAGAAATGTAAACAATATCGGAATTTATCTCGCTAGAATGAAATAGGAAATTCTATTATCAAAGAAAAGGGTGGAAAAAATATCCAGCCTCTGTTTTATTATTTTCAGGAGGATACCTTCACTTGTCTGCTGCATCAAAGAAAACAAGTCTTAAAGCATCTTAAAGATAAACATAATAAACAAATATTCCCCTTAAACCAAATACATTTTCCCCTGTAAGGTTACACAACGTTCTCCATTATTTCACCTCTTATTCTCTAAAGTGTGCTATCCAGCCTGTCACAAATAATAGTAAAACCTAGAAGTCTTGTTGCAACCCCCTTTCGTGTTCTATAATTATTCTGACACTCCTGCTATGAAAAAAAGTTCCTGTATTCCCCACCTTGCCATCCCCAAGCTGATGGCACCCCAATACTCTGACTGTATGTCTTGCAACTCCTGTTAAAGGAACTCTTAAAGGGTTTAAAGACAGCAACAGTTATTTCCTTGTGCAGAATTAATATTACCCTCTAGTAATGAAGGAGCAAGTTCCAAAGAAAGTTGCAGGCATTATCTAGTGGCTTATTTTTGTATTGCCCTGAATACTTTGTACTTGAACTTTAAAGAGAATGGACATTGCAGAACACACTTCTGTCAGAAAGCATGCTACTTCTTTGACCTGGATGCTGTTACACCTTGCAGTGGGGCACTCAGTTCTGATAAGCCCGTATTTCACTGAAATTTCCTCCATTTCTGCACCAATTCTTTCCTGGATTATTTGACAAACACGCCACTTTAGAGAAAATTTAAATAGGAGTTCAGCTTTAGACATGAGGTCACTCCCATCATTCCTGTTTCATGTTTAAACTTGGGGGACAGATTCTTCTCTCCTCCAGTCAAAGAGAGCATCCATGCTTTTCCATTTCTAGTTCCCATAGCAGCACAAGCCTCACGTTGTCTTCATTTCAAAATGTTCTAGTATAGCAACAGTTCAGTACCAGCATGATTAGAGCTGTCTGGTGCTACTTTTTGTATAACCCTAGAAATTTGGGATTATGTAGTTGCTAGTCAAGAAAGGAATGCAGCTGTGGGGATCCTGAGTGACCTTTATTTTTGATGCCACCATGAAATTATCACACAGCATTTCTCCCATTCACGGACATGATAAATAACAAAGGGAAAAGGGGAAATGAAAGGATCGGGCATCTGTGAAGACGGTTTTTGAAGCTATCTGTGACCAGAACACTAATGAATTGTGCATCTCTCTCAACCAGGCATAACAATGATAAAACATTCCTCATCTGGATCAACGAAGAGGATCACATTAGGGTGATCTCCATGGAAAAGGGTGGCAACATGAAGCGGGTTTTTGAAAGATTTTGCCGTGGATTGATAGAGGTGGATGCTTTTCTTTCTTAAAAATGTATTCCTAGATTTTAAGATAATATCCTTTTGTGCTTTTATGTTATTGCTGCTAATTTTTCTTTTTACTGTAAGCGGTACCATTTGAGCTTTCTTATGTAGTGGAAGTAAAGCAGAATCAAATATTAGTAGAGTCGGGGGGCCGTTTTAGGCAGAGTGAGGCAATTTCCACAAGCAGCAAATACTGCATGGAAATGTAGGAGCTGTTTCTTCAATTCACTGCCTTTCTTTGGGAATAAGACAGGATGCACCACGCGGCCTGTTCTGCACTCTGCAGATCGGCTTATCGCCTTCAAGTGCGGGGGGGGGGGGCAGTGCCTTTCTGGCTGTTAAGGAAGATTTGAATCCCAGTCAAATCAAGTGGAACAGAACTCAGGCAGAAAAATGTCACAGACCAACCCCTGAACTAAAGAGTCTTGGGACAATAAACTGTGTCATACATTTAATGCTCTTATACTGCTTTTTAAAAATTGGCCTGAAATCTAGCATGTTTTGTTTTTTGCTTGAAGTTTTGTTTTATCGGAAGGATCATTCAAAATTAGCATTCCTCATTCACATTATGAAATAGTACCACTTACTCAAGTAGTTTTCTGTGTTTAAATCAACGTAGATCTTCTCGTAATTTCAGTGAAAATATCAGATTGACTTAAGTACAAAGAAATTTCACCTGAAAGCCAATCTAGGTGTTATATACAAAGCAAATGCAGCTATGAGAAAAGAACTATGTGTGTGTGTGTGTGTGTGTGTGTGTGTGTGTGTGTGGATATTAAAGTTTACAAAAGAGGGTACAGGATTCTAAGTTTCCATCTTCATCAGACAATATGTTAAAAGCAGGAGAAATATTGCCATATTTTTAATTACAGCAATTAATTTAATATGGCTATAAGTTTCAATTGTTCTGAACCAGATTTTAGTTTAATAGAAGGTAGGTTATGATTTTTTATAAGTACAGGTGGCAAGAGTTGTGTTAAAAGGGCATCCACCTCTCTGTGTGATAAAGGACAGTTCTTCTAACATGCTGCTTGCAACAGAATATATTATTTTTAGATATGTATTGTTTAGAATAATTGTCATAAGCAAATTATGCTGTTGATTATATCAAATGCCCAGCTGAAATTCATAAAACAGCAACAGATTTTATTAAGTGAGAATATGAGTAGAACAACTGATCTGCTGAGCTGATTATGAGTTTCTCAGCAGTGATAAAGCTTTAAACAGCTGGGAAATCAAGACTGAATATTTCAGCACTCTTATCTAAACTGGTGTCTGGACTAAAATCTGTAGTCTCTGCACAGAAACATGTAGTATGGAAATCTAATATAGGATTTATCTGGCCTCCAAAGCTTTCGCTCCATTTCTATACTTTATGGAGTTATACTATAGATAAAATGTTGTCCTTAATTTGTTTACAGCAGACTGTTGAAGATTGTGGATTTGACAAACAACAGTCTGGATATAGACAATTTGAACAGACAGCTAGTTCTGTGCACAGATGGCATGTTGCATGCTATGGTGATTCATTGAATTTTACTTCTTTTCCAGGTTGAAAGGTTAATTAAAGAACAAGGATGGGAGTTTATGTGGAATGAACACTTAGGATACATTCTGACCTGTCCCTCTAACCTAGGAACTGGATTACGTGCAGGAGTTCATGTTAAACTTCCAAAACTTAGCAGGGTAGGTAAGCAATTTATATGGCTCTTAAACATAAAAAAATATTTTGCAATGCTTGTAAAAACAATCCAGAGAAATAAAACAGTGACGATGCACCTCTTTACTCTTAAATGTCTTAATTAGAGGAACATGTGTTTACAAACATGCACGTTGTAAAAAAAGGTCAGTATTTTGTTTTCAATTAATTGTCCCTTATATGGTAGGATCCTAGATTTTCAAAGATCCTGGAACACCTGAGGCTTCAGAAGCGTGGCACTGGTGGAGTAGACACAGCTGCTGTGGCAGATATATATGATATTTCCAACCTAGATCGCATAGGCCGATCAGAGGTAAGCTTCCTCCTTGGTTTTTGCAATAGGAACAAAAATTGAAGAGGAACAACTATTTACATAAGCGTCTAAAAGTATTTGCCTAATCAACATTATATTCACTTATTTGGGGACAAGCCCCACGAAGCTCAATGATTTCTGAGTTGACAGTTACACTGGCCCAGGTGTGTGATGGTGCCCATGTTCTGGCTGTGCTAAGGGCTCTTTATGATTCTCCGGCAACTGTGTGTTTTATTTTTAATTTATTTTCAGCACTTGTATGTAGTTTTATTTATTTTAAAGTTGTGCGCCACCCAGAGTCATGTATGTGAAATGGGTGGCCATATAAATTGAATAAACAAAAAACAAACAAATAAATAAATATGTTTACATAAGTATAGATAGTATTAGGGAAAATAAAATCAGGAAAGGCTGTAATTTTTTTTGGTATGATATTTGAAAAAGTATATAAATGTGATAAACCGAATATATACATCACAAAGGTAAGGGAGTTTCAATGCTCACATACAGTTCTACTATTCATAATAATTCCTCATTCATCTTACTGTACCTGCAAAGAAGATTCTGTTATTTCATGTGTAAGTGAATGGAAAAAACTGCTTAAGATGGGGAAATGATCTGGAGCTATTCAGACAGTTTATGCAAATGTGGCTGTTTTCAAAGTAATTGGTGAGAACTACCCAACATCATGTCCAATGGGGAAAGGGCTGAAACAGGCATCTAATCAGTTTTCATATCAGGCAGCAGAGCCCAAGCCACCTTTAAATTCTTATTTCTATACTTGGATTACAAAAGACCAGTTATCTGAAGGAATAAACCATACAGTGGATACATTCATTAACCCAAAGTATTTTCACTCTAAAGATGACACGACAGAGGAACAAAGAAGACAGGGAAGTTTGGTGATCAGACGTATATTTTACAGTTCATAACAGAATAAATATATGATAATTTTTTATTTTTCTTCAACTGAATAAGTTCCTTATGGTACTTGTAATGCTATTTGGTTTTGGTTTGCTTTGTTAGCTGATCAATGCAAACTTAATTTATTTCTTTTCATACTGAAACTTGAAATACAAGACCCTTGGTTATCTTGCACAGGTGGCTTGTAAAAAAGACTTTAAAATAAACTCCTAAAGAACTAAAATAATACCATATTCTAAAAAATAAATAAATTGAGAAGCAAGACTCTTGTCAAAATCTAGAAGCAATGAGACTTAACTTAGGTAAAATGTTTACTAATCTACTGTTCAAAGCTGCTAATGGATCAAAACCATTTCTTGAGGGTTGAAAATCAAAGCATTTTTTAAAAAAATTATTAAACACACAGAGCATCAAAACAAAGCAAAAAAATATCAAGTTAAAAAAAGGATTGTTTCAAGTTCTTTTCTGAACCACAAATAATCAGACTGACCCAGACGCAATAAAGACCCAAAGCACTAGAAACCTGGACAGCTGGTGGGTTTAGTGGGGCTTTTTTGTATCTCCCTTCAATGGCTGGGGGAGACTTGTATTTTGCGAAACAAAGAAAGCTTACCAAAAAAAAGGAATTGTAAAGTATAAATGCCTTTAACTATTTCAGAAACTAATACCTCACTACTAGAAGGATATTCTATTTTAACTATTTTCTATGGGCTGTTTATCTACACTATGTTCCTTAAACTGTGGAGTCCTTGGTGCTCTCTGAGCTGGGTTGCTTGCTTGCAGACGTTTCATTACCCGACTAGGTAACATCATCAGTGCTAGTGGGTGTGGGGTTTGCTCCCTGTTTATACACAGTAGCTTCCCCTGCCAGTGTTGGTGGGTGTCTTGCTTGCAGACGTTTCATTACCCGACTAGGTAACATCATCAGTGCTAGTGGGTGTGGGGTTTGCTCCCTGTTTATACACAGTAGCTTCCCCTGCCAGTGTTGGTGGGTGTCTTGCTTGCAGACGTTTCATTACCCGACTAGGTAACATCATCAGTGCTAGTGGGTGTGGGGTTTGCTCCCTGTTTATACACAGTAGCTTCCCCTGCCAGTGTTGGTGGGTGTGTAGTTTTCTTCTTGGCAGTTCCTTGAATAGGGTATTGTTTTCTGCTTGACTGTTTGCCTGGTCTTGCTTGCAGACGTTTCATTACCCGACTAGGTAACATCATCAGTGCTAGTGGGTGTGGGGTTTGCTCCCTGTTTATACACAGTAGCTTCCCCTGCCAGTGTTGGTGGGTGTGTAGTTTTCTTCTTGGCAGTTCCTTGAATAGGGTATTGTTTTCTGTCTGATTTTTGCCTGCTTGATTGTTTGTCTCCTTGGTATTCCTTGATTAGAGTATTGTTTTCTGCTTGACTGTTTGCCTGGTGCTAATCTCTGCTTATCTGGGTGTTGGCTGTTTGAGAGGATGTGTGCTGGTCTTTTTATTTCCTTTTTAGCTTTTTTATTGTCTCTTTTGAATGGTTTATAAATGTGGTTCTATGTCTCTGTTGTGCCAGGCTTCCAGGACTTCCCTAGCATTTTTGGATTTAGTCTGGCCTAGGATGCTGACAGTTTCCCAGTTGAAACTACGGTTGAGTCTGTCCATGTGTTCTCACAAACAACACTGGCAGGGCAAGCTACTGTATATAAACAGGGAGCAAACCTCACACTCACCAGCACTGATGATGTTACCTAGTCAGGTAATGAAGCA